AATCGGGCTGGGCATGTGGCCCAGTGGTCTAGTGCCCCTGAGTTCAATCCCTGGTAATTTCCTACCCCACCCCACCCCCGCCCCCGCCCCCCAAAAAAGTTCTGATAAATGCAGTACATGGATGAACCTTGAAAACATTATGACAAGTGAAATAATTTAGACACAAAAAGATAAATACTGTATGAGTCCCCTTATACAAAATAACTAAAATAGGCAATTCATAAAGGCAGAAAGTAGATGAGAGGTTACCAGGAACTGCAAGGAGGGAGGAATGGAGAATCATTGCTTGCTGATGATGGAGTTTCTATGTGGGATGGTGAAAAAGTTCTGGAAACAGATAACAATGGGTTGTACAACATTGTGAATGTAATCAGCGCCACTAAAATGTGTACTTTAAAAAGGGCAAAAGAAAAAATTCTGTTATATACATTTAAAAATGTTTTTTCAAAGGGTAAATCTCATAAAAATTGTTCTTCTGTAGATAAATGGCACTTGCATGAAGAGTTGACCTATTCCAGGAAAAAGTGATCAGAGGTATTCTTAACCCCACACTCTAACATGTTAATTTTTAAAAAATTATCTGGATAAATCTAAATTTGGATTTTCACACCATTGTGTTTTTTTAATATTTATTTTTTAGTTGTAATTGGACACAACACCTTCATTTTATTTATTTTTATGAGGATTGAACCTAGGGCCTTGCACGCGCTAGGCGAGCTCTCTACTGCTGAGCCACAAGCCCAGGGCCCCCACACACCCTTGTTTTTACAACACACTTTTGCTGTACTTAAGATTTTGTGCCCTAAAAATCCAAGACATTTTTAGTATGTTTATGATTTCCTTGACTATCGTTTATGTAAATGCTCTCCTAAGTAAAATGAAAGAAAGAATGAAAATTTAAGGTAAAATGATTAAGATTCTGGACTTTACAAAAAGGAAAACCATCTAAAACAAAGTTTTCTTGTGGGAACAAATAATCCATCACCCATTAAGTCATTAATTCTAAGAAATACCCAGATTATACAACCTTTAATGTTAGAAAATAAAATTAAAAAGCAGCACTGATGAGTGTAAATTATAAATTAGGAAATACAATGACACTAACAATAGTTACAGTTGAAGGAAGAAAATAATTTAATGAGTCGCCAGTTTAAAATGTGCAACTTAGATGTACTGACCTCGAAGGGTAAGGCTTACATAGTCTTGTCCAATTACTACAGAACTCAGATAATTCTTCCACAAGAAAAAGAACTCTGCAATTCTAAAATTGCCACTCAGCATCCCAATCCCGTAACAGGCAATCACATTAAACTAATTATGATTGTTATAATATGTAGCCATCAGAATACTGATTATTTTGCAAGTGTTTAAGCAACTTTCACCTTGTAAAGGCAAGGAAGGGCTGCTTTACCATCTGCTTATCTGTCACATCTATCAGTAGAGTACTAAGTTTGATCCTCAACACACACCCACACACAAAAAGGCAAGGAAATGAAATTTAAAACATGGATATTCGGTATATAACATTACATACTATAAATATTAGGAAACCAGACAACAGCAATTTAGTGAGACACAAAGCAACTTAGTGAGACCCTGTCTCTAAATAAAATATTTAAAATAGAGCTGGGGATGTCACTCAGTGGGTTGAGTGCCCCTGAGGTTTGATCCTCAGCACCAAATATAAATATTATAATATAAAACATTTACAGTATATTAAAAATTAAGAAGATAAAAATTGCAAATAAAAAGATAAACAGTTCAGTATGGTGATACATGGCTGTAGTCGTAGCTGTTTGGGAGGCTGAGACAGGAATATCACTTGAGCCCAGGAGTTTGAGGCACCTGGACAACATCAAAATCCTGTATTTTTTTAACCCCTTGTGGTACTAAGGATTGAACCCAGAACCTTGAGCATGTTAGGCATGTGCTCTTCCACTGAGCTATACAACCCCTGCCCAATACCTTATCCCTTAAAAACAAAAACATAAGCCATATACATATTTAAGTCATTTTTCTAAGTGTGACGACATGAGAATATATTATCCTATTTCAAAAATTTTAAGAAAAAGATATGAAAGATGTCAAACATAACAGAATGTCTAAATCTTTTTATTTTTATTTTTGTAGTTGTAGATAGACAGCATATCTTTATTTTATTTTTTAATATTTATTTTTTAGTTATAGGTGTGACACAATGTCTTTATTTTACTTTATGTGGTGCTGAGGATCGAACCCAGTGCCTCACACATGCTAGGTGAGCATTCTACCTCTGAGCCACAACCCCAGTGCTATTTTATTTATCTTTATGTGGTGCTAAAAATCTAACTCAGTGCTTCACACGTGCCAGGCAAGTGCTCTGCAGCTGAGCTACAGCCCCAGCCCCAGAATGTCTAAATCTTTAACCTACCAAAACTACAGTCTTGAATCTGATAATGGTTACTAAGTACGGCTATTCTCACTAAATCTACTTACTATTATATAACTAACATATAATCTTTTTTTAGTCTTAGAAACTTTTGACTGTTTTCTATGGTTGTTTCTGGACTATCTACAGAGCTATATTTATTGACTGCAACTGATTTTGCAGCACACTTTCCACTTAAAATCTCCCTTTCAAGTAAATGAGGCAGACCCTGATGTTTCTCCTACAAGAAGTTTTCAAACTTTGAAATGGATGTGATTAATCAAATACTACAATGTATATTACACAGTATTCTAGGTAGGTGTACATCACCTTAAAGATAGGACGCTTTTAAGACTGAGGTGCTCTTTCCTTTGCCACTGATGGGTTTTGCCTTTCCTGCCCATTGTTTATTTTATAACTGTCAGGACAGCTGGCTATGTTTGCCTATGATTAGTATCAAAAACTGCTCAAGAAAGCAATTTCTTCCAAAACTCATCCACAGTCGGGGCAGTGATACATGCTTGTAATCCCAGTGATTCTGGAGGCTGAGGCAGGAAGATCACAACACCAGTCTCAACAATTTAGTGAGGGGCTGGGGAGACAGCTCAGTTGGTAGAACTCTTGCCTCACATGCACAAGGCTCTGGGTTCAGTCCCCAGCACCACCAAAAAATAAAAGAAAAAGAAACAATTTAGTGAGACTGTCTCAAATAAAAAATAAAAAGGGTTGAGGATGTAGCTCATGGTAAAGCACCCCTGGGTTTCATCCCTGTAAACTCCCCCCAGTAAATAAATAAACACACACACAAATAACAAAAGGAATCTGTAGAAATTAAATTGAAGACTGACAAATTCTAGTCTTTTCTCTGCCATACTACATATGAGAATTTATCACCATTCACATTTTAGGAATGGGAAAAAGATCACTCAGTTATTTTTAGATAAAAAATCTTGAGATTTCATGAACCAAACTGAGGTATACTGTATTTAAAATATAAATAACAGGGTAGTTATATAATAAATTTATAGCAAAAATAAAAACTCATGAAAGGTCTGAAAAAAATATTAATAAGAACATATTTGTCCTCATGAGAAAGTTCTTTCTGTAAACACCTTTTTTTACAAAGTTTGTTTTACATTACCCCCTACACCATATCATCAACTTGAAATACTTAGTTACTTTTTAAGTCATATTTTAGAAAGTCTAAACAAGCAAACCAAATTAATAGAAATTAAGAGAAAATTAGTGATGTCCCTCTAGACTGAAACTGCTTCATGAATAATATAAGTATTAGAATTCATTTTCAGTTCTTTTTGAGCATGTGCATATGGCTATGTTATTTGACTGTCTTTACTAACCTTGACTGGAACCAGCAAACTCTTATTTAAAAAATTTCTTAAGCTTTCTGGGCTGGGGTTGTGGCTCAGTGGTAGAGCGTTCACCTAGCACATCCAAGGCCCTGGGTTTGATCTTCAGCACCACATAAAAATAAATAAAATAAAGGTATTGTGTCCAATTACAGATTTTATATATATACATATGTATTTTTAAAGAAGTTTCTTAAGCTTTCAATATTGTAGGCTTTCCCTGAAACCTAAACGTTCTATTTCTCTTTTCTTCCAAAACAATTTCTATTTTAAAATACTTCAAAGTGTCTACTTTGCTTTTCTACTTCCTACCTTTTTAACCATCTTTTCCCTTATCCATTATTTCCTTGATTTTTAAAGTACCTCTACTTACCCAGGTAGATATTAAGAGTTCTGAAACATCCTCAAGTTTCAGGTTTATTTTCTATGTCGTACCCTCTTTAACACAAGAGATATATCAGGTTGCCAGCAAATTCAGATATATTATTCAGTCACTGAAAAGTTTAAATTTTACATTTTTATATCTCATTTATTTTCATCACTAGCAACCTGCTTCCTTAAGGTCTAAAGATTTTTAATACTTTTTAGCATTTTGACACATTACCAGAGAAATCAAAGCAGTTTCAAGTTCAAAATGTCATCTAGCCAAAATGGAGTAGAAAAACAGCACCCAATATTTAATTTGTCAAAACTGTACAACACGTTGGGTGCAGTGGCACACACCTGTAATCCCAGTGACTCGGGAAGCCGAGGCAGGAGGATTTGAAGTTCAAAGCCAGCCTCAGCAAAAGCAAAGTGACAAGCAATTCAGTGATACCCTGTCTCTAAACAAAATACAAAATAAGGGGTGTAACTCAGTGGTCAGTGCCCGAGTTCAATCCCCAGTACAAAAAAAAAAACCCAAAAAACCATACAACACAGCTTTTTGGGAAAGCCTAAGGGGAAAAAAATTGTTGCAAGACATAACTATAAAAGGTACAAGTTGGGCACAATGGGTGCATGCCTGAAATTCCAATGACTAGGGAGGCTCTGGCAAGATAATCTCAAGTGTGAGGCTGGCCTCAAACATTTTTTTTTTTTTTTTTTTTTGAGATCCTGTCTCAAAATAAAAAAGGACCGGGAGCCCCACTCCTTGGACCTCTGATGCCACTGCCCACGCCACGTCCCGGGAAGAGAGGAAGAAGGAGAAGAGCCCACATGCCTGTCACCTAGATCCTCCAACCCCGCCGCCCCAAGGAGTCTAAGATGTTCGCCTGCACCCCCGCTCTGATCCCAGCTGGATCCAGAGTTGCTTACAGACCAATTTCTGTATCAGAGTTATCTCGACCAGAGACTAGACCTGGAAAGGGCTCTACAGTTTTTAATGGGGCCCAGAATGGTGAACATCAGCTAATCCGAAGGGAGTTTCAGACCAGTGTAATCAGCAGAGACATTGATACTGCTGCCAAATTTATTGGTGCAGGTGCTGCAACAGTAGGAATAGCTGGTTCTGGTGCTGGTATTGGAACAGTCTTTGGCATCCTTATCGCTGGTTATGCCAGAAATCCTTCTCTGAATCAGCAGCTGTTCTCCTATGCTATCCTGGGATTTGTCTTGTCTGAAGCTATGGGTCTCTTTTGTTTGATGGTCGCTTTCTTGATCTTGTTTGCCATGTAACAGAAATTACTGCTTGAAATGTTGGCATTCATAGTAATTATGGATATAATTCTGTGTAACTTACTGTGACTCCGAAAATTGTAGTGTTGGTGTCATGGAAATCTACGTTATTTCCAAAGTCATTTCATTAAAGATGAAAACTTTTAAATAAATAAATAAATAAATAAATAAAAATAAAAAGGACTGGGTATGTAGTTTAATGTTAAAACACCCCTGGGTTCAATCGCCAGGGAGAAGGGGCAGGGGGGAGTGGGTGAGATTTCTTTTGGGAATCTTACCATATTTCTGCAAGATGTTAAGTGATATTTGAAATCCAAACAAATTTAAATTAGTACAGAATTTAATTCCTAAAGTTACCATTTATAAGTATAATAATATGAGTTTATTCAGGGGCAGAATTCAAATCTAGAAGGAAAATAATACCTAACTAAATTTAATAAAGCTCACTGTATCTGGCACACTGTTGTATATTCTAGTTATTTTAGCCTCAATAACAATTCTGTTTTCACTCTTACCCCCAAGAATTTACACTCCACAAAGCAGCCAATCTAAGCTATCCCACTCAGAACAAAATAATCCCGATTCCTACACAAACCCTGCATGAACCAGCCATCAGCAATCCCCATTATTACAACCACTGAACTCTCCTGCTCTCTTCCTCCTTTTATGTATTATCCACTAACCCTCTCCACTGACATCAGTCCTCCTGAGTCAATCTAACTTCCTCCACCATTCTGAAAGGACATATACCTCTGTACACACACTGTCCAGAACTTAGCCCTTGATGGTTCTTTTCCCAGAATGCTTTTCTCCCAAAAGCACAAGTCTAACTCCTTTAGATCACAGTCTCTGCTTAATGTCACTTCATTAGAGGCTTTCTTTCAACAACCCTATCCAAACACCTCCTCTGCCATGAACCTGTCCCTTTACCCAGCTTTCAGTTTTCTTCCTAAAACCTATCACCATATAAAATAGTAAATAAATATTTATTTAGAGTCTGTCTCCACTTACCACAATGTAATCTCCATAAAGGCAGGGACTGTGATTTGTTCAGAGTTGCATTCCCAGTGTCACGAAAATGTGGTAGATGCTCAGCAATTGTTGAGTGAACAAAAATTTCAAATATCTGACTCTAGAATCCATGTTGTCAACTTTAATTATTTATGCATACCAAAGAAGTCCTTTAAATAATAAATGTTAAAAGTATATTTATGTTGGGAATAGTGATTGCTTCTTAGGAAAGAGAACAGGGTAGCTAAAGGAAAAGAGAGAGATTAAATGTATACTTCTTAAATTTGGGGACCATATTAATGTTAATTTTTCAAAAGTTAAATAATTAAAAATTTAAATTTAATAGCAGTGATGCTTGAATTACATTAACTTTCCAGTTCATCTCAAATGTAGAACATTAAAGGCAAAAATATTGTATTCTTTGTGTTGTTCTGGGGTGTTTTATTTTGCACCAGAACAGGTGGGGGCGGATTATTGGGGATTTAACCCAGGGGTCCTTTACCACTGAACTATATCCCCAGTCCTTCCTTCCTTCCTTCATTTATTTATCTGACAGGGTCTCATTAAGTTGCCAAGGAGCTCACTAATTTGCTGAGGCTGGCCTTGAACCTGAGATCCTCCTGTCTCAGTCTCCCAAATTGCTGGAATTACAGTTGTGTGCCACTGCACCTGGTTTCTGGGGTGTTTTAATACAATTCTTTGAGAATTTATCAGAGTAAGATGTTGAATGTTCCCTTCTTATGTGGTCCCTTACTCTTCTATTATATTATAACATAACTAGCAATTACCTATCTAGTCACTAGGAAGTTTTTAGTTACATTCATCCAGTCATCAAACTTCAAGTACAATATTGCCTTCACCAATTATAAAGTCTGAGGACAGGTTGTCTGAGAAACAACCAAAGAGTTTTTCCTACTCTCATACAGCACTCAACAGCACTCTTCTGACATCAAACACATGGGGTATTTCCTTACAAAATGAGCAAGCAATTCTGACCACGTGGGTGTCCTTCTTACAAATCAACTCAATTCTTACATTACCTGGGACAGCATCAGATCCCTCATGCTGAGGACCCATTCCCACAGAACTGCCTCCCACTTCAGAAGCCAGCCACAAGCACACGTTGGGACCTCTGCTTCTAACTGCCAGCCATAAACTGAGGTTTCCACAACACTCTCCCTTTGGTTTGATTAATTTGCCAAAGTGACTCACAGAACTCAGAGAAACCCTTTACTTACTTTGTTCACCCATTTACTACAAGGAATATTACAAAGGATACAGATCAAGAGCCAGACAGAAGAGATGGACAAGGCAAGATATGGGCCCAGTTGTGTGGAGCTTCCATGATGACTCTGGTAGTGCCACAACCTAGGAACCACCATACTTCAAGCTACACAGAAAACTCTCTGAATCCAGTCCTTTGGGGTTTTTTAAGGGGAGCTACATCATGTAAGAAATTAGATTAAATATAGCCATTGGTGATGAGCTTGACCTTTAACCCCTCTCCCTTCCTCAAAGACTGGGGGTAGGTTTCAAGGTCTTAACCCCCAAGTCATGTCTTGGTATATCCAAGACCAGTACCCATCCTGAAACTATCTAGAGGTCCCCAAGCACCAGGCATTTCATTAGCATACAAGAGACACTCATCACTCTGGAGATTTCCAAGAATTTTATCAGGTTTTTTTTTTCCCCTTTTGCCAAGAAACAAAACAAAGATCAAATATATTTTCCACAATATCACATAAGGTTTCATTGATATCAGAAACTTTGTCACCAAAAACTGCAACAACAAAGAATGCTCCAGGACATGCTCCAATATATTCAGAATTTAAGGTCACAGGCCTGTTAATGGGGTTGGGTGGAACAAAAGTTGACAAGGGAAAAGTAGAAGCAGCAAGCCAGCCACTTTTCATTACTCCTCTAGTCCCCTATTAAACAGGAAGACACATTCTGTTCTCTTGAAACAGTGTTCTTCTCAACTGACAGGAAAGCCACAAGATGAAGATCGTTTTCAGAAGAGAAAATCTAGAATGATGGTCCCGAAATCCTTCACTGACCAATCTAGACTTAAGGGCCTTCACAGTATTTTTTACTCTTATTATATCACAAAGAATGAGATTTATAAACCATAATTAAAAAGAATAAGCACTTGGGGCAGGAGCTGTAGCTCAGTGGTAGTGCACTTGCCTAGAATGTGTGAGGTACTAGGTTTGATTCTCAGCACCGCATATAAATAAATAAAATAAAGGTCTATCAACAACTAAAAACATAAATAAATAAAACAAGAATAAGCACTGATTTCTGTCAGTTAAAATGAATAAGCTTCAAGCAAAGAGACTCTAATTTCCAAATTCAGGTAATGCTGTTTGGCTGCCCATTCTTCTACATCAAATTATTAAATACTATATGATAGGACAGCCTTTCTGTATGAAATCACTTCATATACACATATTTTCCCATCACTTATCATTTAATTTATACTCATAAAAACTCATAAAACTATTTTTTTTAAATCACAAGCCTTCCCCCACCCCAAATTACTAAAACACAGTCTATGTAGTGCTAAATGAAAATTAAAACATTCACTCCCTCAATTAGAGGAAATTAGAAAATTTGATAGTCAGTTGAAAACGGTCATAAAATTTTAACAGTATGGACCTCAGCAAAAATACTAGAAATGGTCTTTGGGTTTGGTTTTGTTGGGAGTCGCCCTGGCTCCAAAGACTAACTTCCTCATCCCCCAAGAAGAGCCGTCCAATGGTGAGCCCTGCTGGCTCACATGATCCTGCTGGCTCACATGATCCTTACCCACCAATCAGACTAGCCCTGCTGGCTCACATGATCCTTACCCACCTATCAGAAAGCACCCCAGCCAACTGTCAAACCGTTCAACCATTAAACTGTTATAACTGTCAAACCGCCCCTGGCTCTATAAATATGCAGAGCTATTCCTCAATAAATGGGCATTTTCTCCAACAGCAAGCCTTGATCATTCTTTCAGGTTTGGCTTACAAGCACTCTACTATTAAGCAACATCCCCAACCCTTTTTATTTTGAGACCATCTCCCTAAATTGCCAAAGCTGGCCTTGAACTTGGAATCCTTCGGCGTTAGCTCCCAAGTAGCTAGAATTATAGGCCTATGCCACCATCCCCAGCTTCTTTCCTTCCTTCCTTCCTCCTGCTCTCCCTTCCTTTCTTTTATTTTTGGTACCAGGGATTGAACCCATGGGGTGCTTAACCCCAGTCCTTTTTATTTTGAGACAGGTCTCACTAAATTGTGTAGGGCCATTCCTGCTAATGGGCAGAATTACAGCCTTCAGGACAGGAGTCCTCTGTGTTTCTCCTTTGCTAGCAAAGCAATAAACCTTCTTTTTCCTTTTTCTCAAAAAAATTGCTCAGGGCTTGCTAAATTGCTGAAGCTGGCCTCAAATTTGGGATCCTCCCTGTCTCAGAGCCTCCCTTTTGCTGGATTTTCAGACATATGCCACCACACTGACTTCTTTTGTTTTTATGTATTGCCTTTATTTAAAAATATATATATTATTTCAAAAAAATGAAAAAGTATAAAAGTAGAGAAAAACCACCAACCATAACACTGTAACATTTTACCCTTCCCCTCCGGCCACAACATAACAAAATATGAACTGATCATATTTACCTCATTCATTAGTCATTGTATAAAGCAGGAAGCTTACCTATACCCTGTAGTTACAGAGTGGCAATTGTCAAAATGGTCCATAGGAACACCTTGTCTCTGACTCTGTACCAAAGGTACTACTGGGAACACTAGTCAATCTAACCAGATACACAACTAAAAGACCTAATTATCCCAACACTCTTCAGCTCTTGCCCTCCTTTTTTTAGGAAGATAAAAAATATGTCAAATGTAACCCTTCCACACAACACTACTAAATCTATTATATCCAAAAAACTATTACCCAGCACTAATTAAAACAAATTCTCAGTTATTCTGATATCACCTTTACTTTCCTTTTTTTTTTAAATATTTTTTAGTTGTAGTTGACACAATACCTTTATTTATTTGTTTATATGTGGTGCTGAGGATGGAACCCAGGGCCTCACACATGCTAGGCAAGTGCTCTACCGCTGAGCCACAACCC